TACCATATGGAACGTTGCGTTCTTAAATAATTGAACCTGAAAGGTCAGTGACGATCTTTTGATACTTAGTTTCAATAATATCCAATTGTTTTTTATTATTCTTTACGTAAAGAAAATAATGTTTTAAAAAAATATATTCTCTACTGAATAACATCCTTCCTGAACATCAATTTGGATTCAGAAAAAAGCATGGATCCATTGACCAGGTTCATTAGATTGATAGATACTATCGGCTCTAACCTAAAACATAATAAATATTGCTCAGCTGTGTTTCTAGATATAAAATGATATCTGTTTTAATATCAACAGCGTACCTCATTCCTTCTTCTTCTTCCTGAAAAGCTACTTAGAGGAAAGATGTTATGAGGTTAAATTAAACAGGACTGGACCAACAGAGGATTAAAAATAGATGGAGAATATCTTAACCATCTAAGATTTGCTGATGACATAGTCCTAATTGCCAATAGTCTGAAGAACTACGAGCACAAATTAATGAACTAAATACAGTCAGCAGTGGCTCTCAAAATGAATTTACCAAAAACTAAAGTAATGTACAACGAACTAGTGGAAAGAAAAGACATTCTAATAAATAACACAACACTGGAAACAGTAGAAGAACATATATATTTGGGACAACAAACACACAGCTCGGGATCTCTACTACCAGAAACCAACAGAAGAATTAAGTTGGCATTGTGTACTTATGGAAGAAACTCAATCATATTTAAATCCAGAATGCCACTTAATATAAAGAAGAAAACATTCGACCAATGTGTCGACACTTAAAACGGACATCATAAGTAACCTGCAGGACGCACAACGTTCAATGGAACGAAGTATGATGTGAATTTATTATTTATTTATTTATTTATTTATCGTGTGGCATATTAAGACACAAAGTACGTATATGACAAAAAGAAAAAAAAATACAAACGAACATGTAACAAATTAATATAATCTATTGATTCTGGAGTTGCCAACAGGAAATCTTCTGGTCTGCCGTTATAAGCCGTTTCAGGACATCCCTCCACGATATGTTTGACGGTTTGATTTTTGCCGCACTCGCAGTAGGGGCTTGGACTCTTGCCCCATTTGTGTAAATTATAGGCGCATCTGCCATGCTGCCTGCGTTCTAATTCTGTTTAGCGTGCACCAGGTTTTCCTTGGTAAGTCGAAACCTGGTGGTGAGTTGGTGATGCATGGCATATCACTGTTTTGTTTCGACGTCCATTCCTGATACCAAGCGTCGCGTCGGTGGTGCTCCATTCGTCTTCAATTGCATTTAGTGCGGTCTTGGTTTGGTTTGGATCGGATCGGAGGCGATTGTGGTTAGCAACCTCGATGTCTGTATGGATCGGTAGTTCTCTGTTGTCCAATATCTTGTTAAATTCTCTGTACAGAGCGTTTATGCGACGCAGACTTGGGGGTGGGATGTGATGGGAAGCCATTCTATACGTGTGGATTTAATAACACCAGCGATCATTCTCATTACATTGTATTATTGAGCTGTGCGTCTATTTTGTGGACATGTGGGCTATTGAGCTATACCGGAACACAGTATTCAGCAGCTTAGTAGACGAGATCCAGAACTGACTGAGTAGATGCTGAAGCGCCCCAAGATGTTCCGCAAAATTTTTGTATTATGTTGTTTCTTGTTTTCAGCTTCTCTGCGGTTTTTGATAAGTGCTCTTTAAGCGAAAGTGTTCTATCGAGTGTAACACCTAGCTACTTTGGGTTTTTATTGGTGGGAATAACCAAGAGAGACGGTAAAAGAATAGAGTGGATACGACAAAAGGCCAAGGTAATTGATGTCATCAACAGAGTCAAATCTCTCAAATGACAATGGACAGGACACCTGTCAACAAGAACAGATAACAAATGGACCACAAAAATTACAGCATGGTACCCACGAGGAATTAAGGGACCTAGAGGAAGGCCGAACCTGAGGTTGAAGACCAGGAACCTGAGGTTCCAGGGCCATAATATTAGGAAATTAGCAGGGATAACTTGGGCCCGCATAGCCGACAATAGACAACAATGGGCCCAACTATAAAGATAGTATGTAAGGGAGACTACACTATAATTGGAAATAGTTGAATAAGCTAAAAATGATGATGATCGGTTATACAATCAAAGGAAAAAGGTTTATATTGTTAGAAACACAAACATTACTTAATTTACACACATTAAAACAAAAAAACGCCAAGTAAACGAGATTTAAATTAAGCAAAGAATTAGGTTACCACTCATCACTCTTGTTATCTGTAGATTTCTATTTATATTGAAAATTTCACACCTCTACTTTTCAACCAATAACATGCTTTAATGTTGACTAGTTACCATGGCAACTGAAAAAATTTCCGGAAATTTTTTCGAGGCGCCACGAAACTTTAGTGGAAATTTTTTGACAGTTGAAAAGGTAAACATAAGATCTACAATCATAATGTGAATGAACTACAATGTCTATATATTGAAATATTACCCATTTGAGTTTTAGCATTTGATGTAACTAAGGTTGGTAATATTTTTTATTTAAGGAAATATGTTAGATATACCTACATATGAATTTCTTCAAATTTCTTGTCAAAAACATCAATACCTTGGCCAACTTAACAAATTGAAATTATTTTAAAATGTCATGTTGGATTAATATTTTTTTTTTCAAATTTAGGTGTGAAATTTTCTTACCGAATATTTACGCAAGCTTAAATTATTCCTGGAAATTTTCTTTCGGGCACAGAATATTTTAGAAAAATTATCCCTCGTCTTCGACTCGATAATTTTCCAAAATATTCGTGCCCTCAAAAAAATTTCCGAAAATAATTTAAGCTCTTGTGATATTATAAGTGAAAATTGTAGAACTAATTACTATAAATACTAACATAGATCTCTGAAGAAACTTACTTTTACTTTCGGAACCGTCTGCAAAGAAGAATTTTATTATTTATAGTTTTTTCTTCGTTCTCGCCGTAACTAAAGAGATATTAAATGTGCGTAGAGCACATGATATATAATCCTCCTAAGAACAATTTCTTCAGCATGTCGATGCTTTCCGTATGAATTGTTGCGTTGCTAGATAATTGATCCGATGGGGACCAACTAGTTACGTTGCTGAGATAATATTACAGATATTTAATACAAGGGAAGATCATTAATTGAAAAAAAATTATAAAAATGTTAAGAATCGAGACACAAACAAAGGAAATTATTTGCTCGGACATTTAGTATTGAATTAAAAAACAAATTTTTAAGATTTGTTCATGTAAAAATTATAGTTTTTTTATACGAATTGTAGTTTTATCCAAAAGTTTTAGTTGTTTACTGTTTTTCCTTTTAATATTTACATATTTTTTCTAGTGCTAAAATCAACATTTGGAAACAATATTTTTAAACAGGTTACTACAAATTCGAGGTACGAGCATTGGTATATCGGTAAGCGTAATAGATATGAACATGGTTAAATTGGGACAAAGTTGCGCCTTGGGATGTTCACCAAGTTGCCATCAAAAAAGTTTCAAAAATTTAAAGGATTGCTGAGTTATTGAGGAAATGGATTTTTTTGATAATCAATTTTATTTTTTCCGGTTGTTACTTTTTAGAAAATCAAAAAAACTTATTGCACATTCTCATAACGACTTTACCACAGGCTATCTGAGTATTTTTAGATTTTCACATTATCTGATAATATGTGAGGTACATAGGCTAACTTATTTTTTTTTAAATACGGACCTGCATTTTTTATTTCAGATTTTGAAAGAATTCGGTCTCCTGGGTTCAATGATATACCACACTAAATATTTTTTTTTGTTTTGGGCATTTAAACACAATTTATTTAAACTAATTTCAAGTCCGGCTCTGTTTTTTTTTAATATTCAATCTATTCATCGTTACAATATTGTGTGATGAGCTTTAAAACTTAACAATGACGTGGGGTAAAACATCGAATACGGAAAATTAAATACAATAAATTAAGAAAAAATAATATGAAATATAATATAAACAATCAAATCGTTTCCTCGGAAGATGCATTGGAAATGGTGGAACAGTCGAACAGTGTAATGGCCAGCGAGATTCCTAGACCTGTCGCCAAGGGGCGGGGGCATTACTTGACGTCATTTGTAAAAGTGAAATCAATACATCTCAACATTTACAATAAAGAGTACAAAATGCATTCGGAAGTATAAGAAGAAGATCTGTTCAATGAACTATAAATAAAATTGAACGAAAAATAAATTTGTGCAATAGGGGGAGGGCGGTAACCCTTTCGAACATGTAAAGCATTAGAAACTAGTTTGTAAAAGTTGATTTATTTATAATAACTACGATATTAATCATAATAATTATGCATATTATTAGATCGTACATTGAGATTTCAAATTAACAATAAAAAAAGTTAAAAATATTATCTTTAAATTGCTGACCTGGATATTGTCTATATACATACTTTATTTGGCTCGATTTTCCTTATTCAATGTTAATTAGCGGTCATCAATATTGTTGCGATGAATTTAATCAGTTTAAATAATTTAAAAAAGCACAATTCGATACTTCGACGTTTTTTTTTCCTTGGAAGGTTCTCCAGAACGATTAACTAGAAAGATGGAGTACATAAAAGAATTTCCCTAAATATTCTATTCGGACTATTTGTTATGAATTCTAAATTAATTGGGTTACTTAAATTTGTATTTATACAAATTAAACATTATTATTGAAGGTATTGCATAATATAATGCATAGTATAAAATGTACTAAAACAATAAAAATCCCGAAGCATGTCGACCTTGAACTAAGGATTAATTTTATTACAGCTTATAAACTTCACAGAAATTTTATTTAGACAGTACAATTAAAACTACTACTTTTACTTGTTAGTAAATAATGTTCACGAGATCGTAGGCTATAATGATCGCGTGCTGTATGAACAATTAATTGTTTTATTTATAAAAGCACGTTAATACTAAGAGAAATACATATTTATATAGATTTTTTTATCGTTCCAGACGAAAACGAGTGCAAATACAGACCCTGCGACGTATTTGCTCATTGTACTAACACCCTAGGGAGCTTTTCGTGTACCTGCTTTCCTGGATACCATGGAGACGGATTTCACTGCGAGGGTAAGTCTTTCATAAAATATATTAAATATATTTAAAACTCTAATTATTAACGAAAGGGATAAGAAAGAAACGTATGACGATGATAAGTTCACTAAATAAGCATCTCTTATTTTAATGAGAAAAGTGCTTATTTTAATGAGAAAAGTCTTTTTACAATACTTTGAAAAAAACTGGAAAAAATATCATCTAACTTTGTTTGATCCAAGAATTTGGTCCATTTAAAGATTGATGTCAATAATTTTTTTATAAATTTTAATATATTTGAGGAATCCTTTTCTTTCTTGAATTGGAGAATTGCGATAAAAAGTAGTTCCTAAATGTATCAATGTGTTTTCAATAAATATTTTAGAAAATTTCAAAAACATTGAAATTAAAGAAAAAATATCAAAATTTTACATTATTAAGTAATCTCTGGAATCCTTACCTTAGTCAATGATCATTTTTATAAGTAATTTTATGTAAAAAATAGTTCAAGTTTATTGTCACTATTCTGAAATTTAACCAAGTATTATTAATTACATAAATTAGAAATTTGCTAAAAAAGGGTGCCGCTTGTTTTGAGAATATCTAAATCACATCATCAGGTCACGACACCTTGAGTCAAGTAATGAGGAAAGAGTATCATATATCTATAATTTCCCCCCTTTTAGTAACTTTTAAAGGTTGTGACTTGTGAGCGTCTTTAACTCCTCAATTTAAAATAGTTATTTACAGTACAAGTGTGTTTATGAACATGATTACAACAACGAGTGTGAACGATTAGAACGACGAGGTCGTAGACCGAGTCGTTCTAATCACACGAGTGTTGTAATCATGTTTAAACGCACGTGTCATGTACAACGTTTAATCTACAACCGCAAAATAAGAAAATGCTGTTTTAATTTTCGTTTATTAGTCGCCCACCTTTAACACCTTTAACTATGACATTTGTCACATTTTTTTAATTATAATTTTTTTCTGAAAAGTCAGTTTGCCCGGTCAAGTAACGCGGGCACTTTTTGCCCAGAAAAATAATTTTAAAAATTAGAATTGTTTTGGAGAAGTGTAAAAAATGTGTTATTAATATTTATAATAATTAGTAGTAGGAATTTGTATGAAAAATTAATATATTTAGATGTTCGTAGTTGTTTTTCATTATTATAAAAACTAGTTGTGTTATAGAGTCATAACACCACTAGTTGTGTTATGAATCTCATAACGTAACTGAAATATTAAAAATATAGTGATGTAAAAACGTTATAACTAAACGGTTGTAGATAAAATATTTAACATGATTGCCATTATTCGTTCAACAAACGTTTTTTGTATAATTATTAGAATTATATGTGGATGCCATAATTTGAGTTTATGGCAAATTCGATATTTTTATATTTAAGTTGTTTCTTTGTGAATATTTTCAAAGATATTGTTCCGCTCTTCTATAATACTAAAAATAATCTATTTAGCACCGTTATAATTCGGATTCGGATAATGTTTAAAATTACTTTACGCAAGTACAGTATTACTGCTACAAGTATTTTTCTCTTCCAGTAAAAATTAGTCTCTTACTCAGTTTAAAAATTACACTTATTTTTATACGAAAATTATTATACACTATATGTTATTTTGTTATTGTAGATGGTTATGGCCTTATTGAAAAATTATGCCGCTTTTTGCATTTCTTAACTCCCCTGTATATATTTATATGCAAGTCACTTAATTTTGATTATTTAATTTATTTGTAGATTTCTCGGATATAGAGACTTTTATTACAATAATTTAAAAAAATAAATAACTTTTTTTGACTTTTGTAAGTATTCATAATTCTTGGACACATTGTATAAAATTTACTCGTAATACATTGAAGTAATATATTGCCAGTACTGGCTTTTCTGGTCAGATATAACAAGCAAATGTACCAAAGTGTTAGTTCTCTCTGCAGACATATAGACATTACCGTTAATCGACACTTCGTTACACCTGATATAATATGCATGCCCGTTGTGTATATACTATAAACATCGCATTTAATCAAGCATTAATGACATGTGACACACATCGGAATTGCGAATTAAGTAGCCATGTTTCTGTAAATCAAATTGAAAAATAAATATTGGGAAGCAGGAAAGCTTAATTCAGAACCTTGACAGTAGGTAGTTTAATAAATTAGTAGTTTCAATCAGCGTAGAAGTTTGTTCCTCTAATTTCAATGTAAGCATTCAAAACGTCAAAATTAGCGGTAATACTTTCCAATTAGTAGAAAAAGTTAACAAATTTTTAACATTTTCCACTAATTATACTTCAAAATTTGCAAGTAATGTTATTTTGGCCATTGATCATTCGTCAAGAGAAATTGTGGTTAGAAAAAAAAGTTGATTGTTTCATAAGCTGGGGTTTGAACCCCATTATGGCAAATAAAAAATGGGTTTGTGTTCATACTATAATATTTCTGGGAACGTTAACAATTCTTATAAAAGAAGAATAACAAGTTACATTAATTATCTAATAATTTGCACATCGAATTGAGCACATAAATCTGAAAGTAGATATATTGAATTGATTCTATACAAATGCCAATAGGTTAATGCCCCTGCAACGGTATTAAAATTTAAAAGATTTGTTTTCAATAAAAGTAAATAAATTTGTATAGTGAATAGAGTGATTAATTTACAATTTAAATTAATGATCTGTATAAATTAAATTGTTTTAAATAAAATTACTGAAAAACCAACATGAGGTTGTAAGGAGACCTCTTTGACTCTTAGGTATTAGTGTTAGTTAGGATTAGTCTAGGAATACTGTTAGTCGCCCCAAGTTTTTGTTAATTCAAAATTGGGCTGTATGGCACTTATCAATGATTACTTATTATAAAAATGTGTATCAATTTTGAATGATTTTTTTTCTCTTGTGGCCGACCGTAGCTACAGCAGTAGTGGGGAGCAAAAGAGCGGAGCGAGAGGTACTGGGTTCGATCCCCAGCCAAGTACTGTCGCTTTATTTATTTAAATAAATATATTAAATATATTTATTTATCTAAATAGAGCGACCAGCGAACTGCCACCTCAAGGAAGGCAACCCAACCTTCAAATAGTGCCGTTCGGATTCGGCGATAAACTGTAGGTCTCGTGTACTTGTGAAACACTGATGACACACACCACAAGTACATGCGAGAGTATAGACGCTCTGTATAGAGTATGGCTCTGTATAGAGTATGGCACTGTAAAATCCATTTTCTTGAAATCATGGAAATGAAATATAAAATTTTTAATAATTTAATTTACAACTTAAATTTACTGCATTTCAGAGTTGAGTGATGAGGACAACCACTTCAAAGTACATATTATTATATTAGGTATTAATAAATAATTATTAACTTTTTGGAGAATCTTGTGTGTGTGTGGGGGCAGATCAAGAGTTGTTTTATATATTAGCTTCGAAGTTAAATCTATTTTAGGATATAACCTATAAGGCATATTTTTCAACTATAACTTGATTATATTAACTATATTAAATATTATTCTGTTCTATTATAATAATAATAAATGGCTTTATTGGACGTATTAAACAAAATAAATAGTTATCAATTTTGAACCTGAATAGTTATTCCTCGCGTTATCCTTATATCAATTCTGCAGTATCTATATACTATCAATAAGAGAATTTCCATAACAAAAGTATTTTATTTTTTCTGTTTTATAAACAGTTCCTAATGCATTGCTTCATCATCCTTAGCCTACTCAACCACTTCCAATTATGGTGTAGCATCCCTCACATATTTAGATGCTCTGTAGGCTGTACTACTTTGATGATTGTTGTTTACTCGTTGTTGTCTATTGTTGGCTATGCGGGGCCCAAGTTATCCCTACTAATTTCCTAATGTCATGGTCCCATCTCAGGTTTGGTCTCCTTCTAGGTCTCTTGACTAGTTTGGTCTTCTTCTAGGTACCCTCGTGGGTACTATGCTGCTGTAATTTTTGTGGTCCATCTGTTGTCCGTCCTTCTTGCCAGGTGTCCTGCCCTTTGCCATTTGAAGGATTTGATTCTGTGGATGACATCTATTACCTGGATCTTTTGTCCTATCCACTCTATTCTTTTACGGTCTCTCTTGTCTTCATACTAATGCTATTAAAATCCTTTAAATTGAGGAATATTTCTTCGTCCTAGCAAAAATGTGTCAGTGAATCAAAAATGCGTTTCAGAGTATTTCTCGAACAACGAGTTTTCATCTTACATTCCAAAAATGGGGATTACAGCTGGAGATTGAAGCCTTTCGTGTTACAACAGTAAAATACAACACTAATTCACGACAATACACCAAAACACTTTATTTTTGCACTTGATGAATGGAAAATTGTTGTATGGTGTTTTATTTTGCAAAAATTGGGATATTTCTAGAACCAGAATTTTCTCCTGAACCATGAATTTCTACTGAATATTAAATAAAATTAGGCGTTATATATCGGCAACACTGCCTAACCTTGTGATAATTTGTCCATATCACTTGTCAAAATAAGCATGTTCTGTGGTCAAAATTCATCCGCAACGTCAAATAATACCAAAATTTTAATTTCATATTTTATAAAATACCTTGATAATCCGCAAATTTTATTATTAAAAACTACTTATTGAAACTGGTCTATTTTCTCGGTATTTTTCTTTTCTTTTGCTTTCGATGCGTAGTTTTCGTCAAAGGATCCGAATTTTGTTTCGAAATAAGTATATACTGAAGAGGTTTTTAATCAGATCCCAATCTAATGGCATTTTAAAAATAATAACTGTTTTCTTTTTTCGTTTTCTGTATCATGCTTAGTGAAATAACAATCCATTTTCAGAAATGAATCCATCACCAAGATTATTTGCAAAGACAGATATTTTTTTCTTAATCTGTTAAAATGTTGAAGAATCTAACCTAACAGAACTGTGCTGTGTCGCTGGAAACACCCTAACGAACGGACGAAAGCTGCATTTAATTCAAACAGCTGCCAATTATCAATTTTGTACAACTCTCGTTGGTTCTTTTGGGTGTAGCCATCGACACAACATATATCTTAAACGAAGCTTTCTTTATTTCCTGTACTTTTTGGACGTAGCTATGACCAAAGATAATTTCCTGCTAATCTGTTGACATGTCGAACATTACACCGACACCACGGGTCGCCTTGCGCCGGTCTGGCTAGAGGAAGTTTTGTGAACTTGACAGCGCGAAGGCAATCTGCAGGAATCTCAGTCACGACCTTTCGCTCTCGGTCTGGCCGCCCTCGAACCTCTAGCAGGAACGCGCCATGTAGAGTGTCGACCCGGGGCAAAAATTCGAATTTACAGGATTTCACGAATTCAATTACTGTGTCCGCGAGCGGCGGCCGGCTGTATAAATTTCGGACGTAAGTTGTAGGGAAATGAGAGAGGTGCAGACGCAATTCAAAGTCGGGTGGACGGCTAGAAATTAGTTTTATTTCTTCGAAATCAGAAGGTAGACCGGATATTTTGGCGTTTAATTTAATTGGAGTACATGAAGGAAAATTAATAAGATACACGATATGATCCTGAGAGCTTGTTCCTGAGAACTTGGGTCCAGCGGCATTTTTCCCGAAGAGCGGATACCGAGTATCGGAAAAAGCTTGCTGTCTCTCTTTCATGCTGGAAACTTGTCCCCTTTTGTGGGGCGAAGCTATCCGCTAAGGAGGTATAACCATCCTTAGCCTACTCATCCACTCCCAATTATGATGTACCTAGCATCCCTCACATATTTAGATACTCTGTAGGTTGTATACTCTACTAGGTTGTACTGCTAATTTCGTAATGTCATGGTCCTATCTGAAGTTTGGTCTTCTTCTAGGTCTCTTTATTCCTCGTGGGTACTATGCTGTAATTTTTGTGGTCCATTTGTTGTCCGTCCTTCTTGCCAGGTGTCTTGCCCATTGCCACTTGACGGATTTGATTCTGTGGATGTCATCTATTACCTGAGTCTTTTGTCGTATCCACTCTATCATTTTACGGTCTTTCTTGTCTTCATACTAATGCTATTAAAATCCTTTAAATTGAGGCATATTTCCTCGTCCTAGCAAAAATGTGTTAAGACAGCGTTTCAGAGTATTTCTCGTACGAGTTTTCATCTTACATGGTCTATTTTGTCGGTATTTTTCTTTTCTTTTGTTTTCGATGTGCAGTTTTTATCAGGGATCCCAAATTTTGTTTCGAAATAAGTATATACTGAAGAGGTTTCTAATCAGATTCCATTCATAAAACCTTCATAAAAGTTTAAGTCCAAAAACAAAGACGATTATCGAGGTTGGAAACTTTCGAATTACAACAGCAAAATACCTAAATTATATCGCAAATACTGTATTTTGAATTCTGGATAGGGAATTTGGTAACCATTAGAGAACTCATCAGTACATGATTAAAACTAAGTAATTATTCCATATTTTAGCATTTAAAATAAGACCTTCCATTGGCATTGTTACCAAACTCAAAACCCAAATCAAACATCAATGAAGCGGGAAAAAATAATCCAATGCACCAATAAATTAGGAAACTAGAAGATTAAAAACAGAGATATATTGTCTTTACATTTATTTGTTTTAATAAAAATATCAAAGAGTAAAAGAATGTGACCCTTAGGTCAGTTCATATTGGCTTTCCATTTATTTCTTTTAATACCCTCATAAATAGAAATATCAAAGAGTATACGACTTGACGCTTCATTAAAGGCTGAACCCAGAACTAAAATAGATAGTACTGTAGCAAAATCATTGTGAAGAGTGTATACTAAGTACGGGGTCAAAAAACTAATTACTTTAAGCATTGAAAGGCTCAATATAATTACAGATTCTTTTACTGGTAATTCTATAATAATGAGGCATTTGTGTTAAATAGGCTTTGCAAAATGAATTAACTATTTTATAAATAAACTACGTATAAAAAAGTTGCTTAATTTGTGTGAGCTTAAACTCCTAGAGGGAAGAACGAACTCACGCTAAGCAAAACACCGACCTGAGGCAAAAAAATCAAATTTACCGAGTTTCATGAATTCAATTACGTTTTCTGTATAGCCGGCAGTATTAATTTCCCAGGTCGGTGTAACGTATAGGAAGAGAAGGAGCATATCAAGACAATAGAGAGAGCGAGAGAGAGAGAGAGAGAGAGAGAAGTAGAGATGCAGATCACTGTCATATGGACGTGTGAAATGATTTAATATATTTTCAGCACCAAGTGTTTACACCGGAAATAATGGAATTTAATTTGAGTCAGGTGAACGAATAAAACAATTTGATGACGTGTATAGCATTAATTGCGACAAATCATAAATATTCTTCTTCTTCCGGCCCCATATGCAATCTTTCACGTTGGAGATCATTTGTACACTCTCTTGAATTCACCCTTTATAGGTTTATGGTCGCTAAATCGGCCACTTTAATTTAACCAACGGTGTGTATTATCACCCAGTTTGTTTACTATGCTATGTGCGCTTTGGCTATTTAACGTTGGCCCAAATGGCGCAAAAAGTTAACGTAAGCGGTTGAATATTCGACCAGTGAGATTGGTGACACTGAGTTCGATGTGTATCCTATAGGTATAATAATTGCCGTCTAAGCATTTTCTATGCAACTTTCGTGTGATAAAAATTTTATTTCTTCTTATTTAGTGCACCAAATTTACGGCTCGGATGATATTTTCCAAAATCGTTAACATATCCTGTATATTTTCTATCATTTCTCATAGGATGCAAGTTTCTCGAAAAACAAAATTTGATTTACTTGATATGGGCATATTTTTAGTAGATATCTAACAGAGATAATCAAAATGAACTTACTCTTTTTTCTTACATTGGGTGATACATACAGTTTATACATTAGATGTGGCTACATATTATCTATTTGCTTTAACACTTTAACAGTCTCTAAATCGACCACCACCATCCCACTACCTTATTTGTTAACTTTTTTCAAAAATGTTATTAAGAAGATATCCTCCCTTTTTGCTAGTTTATATATTTTTGAAGTTTTGATCAAACAAGAAATCAATTTGATCAAACTAATAAATAATTAGTACTGCCCTATAAAGGGTTAAAAATTTATAAGGGTATTGTCTTCTGCCCAACGGAATATGGTTACCGCGTCCGGTATCCCGCTCCAATTCCTGATGTTACGAAGCCATGAGAGCTGTTTTCTTCCTGGCCCTCTTCGACTCTCAATTTTGCCCTGTAGGACCTGTTTCGAAATGGCGTAGCGAGTTCCTCTCAAAATGTGTCCCAAATATGGCATTTTCCCGGTCTTTACTTTTCTTAAGCAGCTGTTTTTCGACAGCAGCTTTCCGCAGGACTTCTTCGTTTAAAATAATCTTAAATAGTCTGCGGAGAGTCCACATCTCAAACCTTTTGATGCGATTTGATGTCGACTTTACTTTGATTGGCCATGTTTCCGCACCATACAATAGAATGAGCCATAGATAGCACATAATCACTCTTAGTCGGAGGTTTAATGGTAAGGGTTGTTGTAGGGGGATATTCTGAAGCCTTCGAAACGTTGTTTTGGCCATGCCGATTCGAATTTTTATTTCCTCGTCGCAGTCCCAATTGTTGTTGACAACATAGCCGAGATACTTAAACCTATCCACTTGATCAATGATCTCGCCGCTTACAGTGAGGTTAACATTTTGGAAACTGCCTATCCTAATCGCCATGGTCTTTGTTTTTGAAGTACTAATAAGCAGCCCGTACTGTTCTCCCACACTATTTATTTTATTTAATAGTTCTTGAAGATCTTCCATAGTGGAGGCCAATAAAACAGTATCGTCCGCATATCTGATATTATTAATGGGCAATCTGGAATATTTTTTCGGCACAAATGTTAAAAAGCATCGGTGACACAATGCATCCTTGTCATGCTCCTTTGATTACTTCACAGGCTTCGATCGAGACTGTGTCATTTCTCTGCACTTCGGCTGTCTGGTTCCAATATAGTTGTTTTATGATTTGGATGTCCTTCTCAGATACCCCGATTTCCCGTAGTCTTGCCAGAAGTAAATCATGATTGGAATTATTGAATGTTTTTTGGTGATCAATAAAACAAATAAAGATATCCTGTCGTTGGTCATCACATTTCTGCATCAAAAGCTTTAGCAAAAAAAGACTAGGGACTAGTTCCTAGTCTCTTAATAAATCCAAACTGCATCTCTCCGCTCATTTCTTCACATTTATTATAGATGCTCCGGTGAATTATATAAATATTAACGGAGTATTATGATAGAAGCTTGTGCATGACGGCTGATTTTCTATGAAAAATAATATTGATATTTTTGTTATGAAGAATAATTAGTAATTACCATATTTATTATCAGTTTATGACAATTAAATCGATTGAAAAACGATGTACCTTTTTGCTTATTCTTCTCAAATAATGAATTTATTATCCTTAAAAAT